AAAGAAAGAAAGAAAGAAAGAAAGAAAGAAAGAAAGAAAGAAAGAAAGAAAGAAAGAAAGAAAGAAAGAAAGAAAGAGAAAAAGAAAATATCGAATTACTATTTAGGGAATTTCTAAATCTGCTTTTTTTCCTGAATGGAGCCACTCCTGGGCCTAGTAAGGGAAAGAAAATTCCAACATAAAGAACCTTAACCCACTTGTTCACTTATTCAAGGCCCCACAGTAGCTTTTTACTTATTTATTTGTTTGTTTGTTTATCTATTTATTTATTTATTTATATTTGAGCTTCTCAACACAGTCTAGAAATATCCCTTCAGATCCAGCCATAGAGAAGGAAAGAAGGTACCAACTATCCTTAGGCCCACGCTGGCTGGAGGAGTCACTCACAGAGAACACAGAGAAACAGAGGCTCCGACCTTCTGACCAAGGCAGCTGTGAGTTTGTCAGGAACTGAATCTGATCCTCCCCTCCCCCTCCACAGAGAAACTGGAGGGGTCACCCTCTCAGAACCCAAACCTAAGTGCATCCCTCTCAAAGAGGTATTAGAGATCCCTGCGGCAGCCTGCCAGCCAAAAGGAACAGAACGGGAGCCTCCCACTGCCCCAGCAGAAAGAGGTGGAAAAGATTTCCTTTAAACTGGATCCAGTGATGCATGCCTGTAATCCCGGAACTCGGGAAGACTGAAGCCAGTTTAAGTTAAATAGCAAGACCCTGTTGCACCTACCCAACACCAAAAGGAAGGAAGAAGGAGGGGGGGAGAGGAAAGAGGAAACTTTCTCAGTTTCAGAAACCCAAGGAGCTAGCGGCGAATGCACCCGATGATGTTTGCCTATAGACTCTTGCCCAGGAACCCAGAGGAGCTACTCTGAACCAGCCACTTGGGAACCGGGTTAGTCTTCCACCTCGACACACTCCTCAGGAAATATGGTGAGATAACAAATGGCGTAGAAGTGGGTATAAGGAATGTGGCCAACATAAACCATCACCCAGGACAGTTTGAAACCTGCTGCCCCTGGGACCACAACTGATACATCTGCCAGCATGCCATCCTACATCTTTGTCATGTCCCACATCTCCCTGTAAGAGGAAATGGAGAAAGTAAGAGGAATAATAATAACAACTGGGGGACTAGAGGGAGAACTCAGTTGGCGGAGTGCTTGCCTAGCATACAGGAAGCCATGGGTTTGGTCCCCAGCTCCACAAAAATCGAGCATAGTGTTCCAAATCTGCAATCTCAGCACTTAAGAAGTGGATCATAAGATAAAGGTCATCCTCAGCTACATAGTGAGTTCAAGGCCAGCCTGGCCTAAGACTATTAATGTTACATTAATATTATTATTATTAATAATAATAATAATAACAACAACAACAACAACAACAACAACAACAACTGAAATCCATTACAAGGACTAAAGGGCAACAACTAACATTCTCATGTAATTCTCCTTCCAACCTCTTGGGGGCGCTCCGGATGAGATGCTAGCACCCCATCTAGAACTGACCTGTGCCCTCAAAGAAGCAGCCCTAAACTGGGAGAAAGGTATCAGTCAGTGAAGAGCGGGGGACATTGTTGCATTGTTGTGGAGTAGAATATTAATTCAACTATGTAAAGATGCATTGCATCTGTTTATGCTGTATTTATTTAACTGTGTAAAGATGTGTTGCTGTTTCCCCTTGCCTGCCTAAGGCACCTGATTGGTCTAATAAAAAGCTGAATGGCCAATAACTAGGCAGAGGAGGGATAGGCGGGGATGGCGGGCAGAGAGAAAGGGGGGGGGGCAGCCAGCTGGGGCCCAGCGCACCAGACTTGGGCACGGAGGAAGCAGGAAAGCAGGATGGACAGTCCGTAGATGAGGTAAAGGAGCCTGGGACAGCACACAGATGAATAGAAATGGGTTAGTGTAAAAAAAAAAAAACCCTAGCTAGAAACAAGCCTAAAGCTAAGGGCAAGCATTCATAATTAATAAGAAGTCTCCGTGTCATGATGTGGGCGCTGGGCAGTCCAAGAAATCCTGCTACAGGAGACCTCAGGATAAGGTCTCCTCCTGAACTTTGGTCCAGCAGCAAGGAGGCCTCTAGCCTGGTCTCCAGTATGTCAGGGCTCACTAACGGACAGGGGACTATCCTGGGAAACAGCTGCTGAGAGAGGCCAGATTGGTGTGAATGAAGAAAGAACATCTTCCAGATGTGCTCTAGATGAGGCTAAAGGCCACTGTCTTCCCATCCGTGCCAGTATTAGGACCAAATGCCACGAGCCGGGCTGAGCCACAGACCTGTACATCCAAGGCGGATGACCTGGGAAAGAAGGAGGAGGCCAAGAGACTGAAAGCAGGAATCAGAAGGAGTCCATACATGGACCGCAGGGGACTCGCTAAGCCACGTCTGTACAGTGTAGCCACAGAGGGGATGAGGACTATGGCCGGGCTGCCTTATAACCTAATCACAGGGCCACCCTCTTTCCAAATCACTTAAGGGCTGGGGAAAACCATCAGAAATAGCTGTGGCCCCAGACTCCCTGACAGAGAAGTATACCAATAACACCCTGTGGCCTGTTCTCAAGGTCAATGTCCTCTACCCACTGCTGCTGGCAATGATTTGCTCCCAAGTCAAAGTTATTACTACCAATAACTGTTCTGGTCATCTGAAGTTACCCATCTAATCCCAGGTTGTGCCTAGCCATGATAGTTATTTGTTCTGTGATCTACACACACACACACTCACACTGCCAGGATAGGAACACAGTCCTACAGGTAGAGATTGTGTTCATACACACACACACACACACACACACACACACACACACACACACACACACACACACACACTGCTAGGATAGGAACACAGTCCTATAGGTAGAGATTGTGTTCATTTCCCAGTGTTGTGGCTTTGCCAGGTAGTATCTGTACCACCAGCAAGGATCCAGCTTCAGGCTCTGCCCCTGCCTTGGCAGCGATCCAAAAAGCCAGCCTGTCTGGGAAGGGTTAAGCACCTGGGGGCCCAGCGCAGACGGTGGCTGGGCTGTGGAGCAGGACAGCCTCCCATCCATGGCACCGCGGGCTCCAGCACGAGCCTGCCAGCCGCCGCCTTTGTTGATGGACTCTGCCACATGCTCGGCTGACACGCGATGCTCCGCCCTGGCGGGGCTGGTGCCAGGCTGCCGGCCAAGCACCAGGCAGAGCGCCCCGCCGCCGGTCGCAGGTCTGGGGAGACTCGGAGGTACAATCTCCAGAGTCCTGGGCCAGGGTTCCCAGACACAGACAGTGAGGAGTGGCTCTCCAGCTGGAAAGTGTCAGGTTTCAACCGGTTCCACCACTTTCCCCCACTCAGGCCCCATCTCGGGACTGATTACCGGTTTCCCACTGTTCCTCAGCCAGGCACACCCCCAACTGCTCAGTTTCACTTCAGCGTTCTACAAGAGACAAGCCCCCAACTTGGGTCTGGGGAGTTTGTCCAACCAGACTGCGGGAAGCCATCCCATGGGCAGGGAGGGATCGCGGGGTATCTCCCACCTCTTGTGAAGCTAAGTAGGCAGCTGGAACTCTCAAGGACATGAGTACTCAACTAATTGTGTCTACCCAGTCCATCATAACGACAGTAGCCAAGGCCAAAACTCTGAAACATAGCCTGAGGCCTGGCAACTCTTGGGTTACTTACAAGAGGACAAAGGCAAGCCCTGGCTTCCCAGCGCCAACAGCCTCAAGCCCCCCACCCCACCCCCACTGCCCCCCAAACCCTCATGCCTACTTGTTGTATATGAAGCCGATGAAACTGGTCTGCAATGCACTGAAGCTTTCTGGCGATCTGTACCTCTGCCCGATGCTGCCACTGTCCTTCAGGGGGCTGCTCCCCAAGGGGCAAGCCTGCCGGGAAACTGGCAGGGAGCGGAAGCCTGTAGCCGGCATTGCCTGCAAAGACAGAGGATCCACATCTCAGCATTTCCTACCCTACCCTACCGTCTCCATTGTCAACCCTTTCTGGCCAAGACCTGGAGTTGCTGGTAAATCTTAGGATAGAAGGAAGAGGAAGCAGCCTGCCTGCCTTTACCAGGGCATTCTGCCAGACTCGGAGAGCTGCCCAAGAATAGAAAAGTTGGTACAAGGGCTGAGAGTGTAGCTTAGATGTAGCTGAATATTTAGCACACTCGAGGGTTCTCTCTCTCTCTCTCTCTCTCTCTCTCTCTCTCACACACACACACACACACACACACACACACACACACACACTTATCCTGGAAAAACAGAAAAGAATATAGAGTCTGCCTTCTCCTCCACGCTCAGTCCCACGGCATAGCGCAGGGTGCTAATGTGTACAATGAACACGCCAATCTTCTGTCATTTATCAAGCTACACTTGACCTCCCTGTATATTATTCATGTAGTGGCAGGTTGAAGCTGTTCTCTGGTTCCTGGGTTGAGTAAAGCAGACAGAGAAAAGAAAAACAAACAAACAACCCCGAAAGTGTCTTCATTTTTCTAGTACGGTTAGGGAAAGCTGGGCTCAGCACTCAACGATCAGAGCAGCAGCAGAAAAGCCAGTGAGAAGACTCCTGAGGCCCCACAGAGCAGCCAAGCCGGCTCACCGAGTGCGGGCCCCAGAATGGCCGCTGGGGGCGCCTGCCACCTCCTGCCTCCTCCCTCTTCCAGCCCGCAGGAGGCCTCATCCAGCTTCTCAGACTCCCGCCAGAACTGCTTTTCCAGAAGTGCCCTATGGGCAGTTAGCTCCCTCTGAGATTAACTGCAGCGGCTTCTCAGTCTGCTCCCGAGGACACAGCAGGATGACCTCTGAGCCTCTCTCTACCCCCCCTCCACAGGCCAGTGTGCTAAAAGAAGAAACAGACCGAGTGTCTACTCCTGCCCTTTTGCCAGAGGAGGGCATATTCCTCATAAAACAAACCATTTGAGCCCACAAATGAAGGGGTCGTGTCTGATTTAGCCTTGGACACGGCCCCTCTGCTGGCACGGAGCCCAGGCAGGCCCAACCTCTTTCTCCAGTTCCTCTTCCAAGCACAGAAAGTCCCAAGTGACAACTCAAAGCCACCTTCTGTCTTCAGGAACCTTCCCTATAAGAACTGGCTGGGCTTCTCCTCGAGTGTCAACAGTGACACTTAACACTCCCTTCCCCTTCGTGAAAGACAAATCAGCACCCGGGCCCCAAAGGCAGAGTCACTGAGAAGACAGAGGATGTGACAGGAGACTGCATGGACCCAAGGATCCCTCCAGGGAGAAATGGAAAGAACAAAGGAATTTGTCCTTGGGGGGGCCAAGCACAGGTGGAGAAGGTTGAAAGTTGATGGATCGATCGATCGATAGCCCTGGCCGTTCAGTTTGGTGAAGGAAGTGGTAACGAGCAGGTTTCAGAAGGGAAAGTCCCCTCATTTCCCCCAAGGTCTAAGGCTAAGAGCACTCACCGTAAAAGAGTCTCTGGGGTTCCTCTGTCACCCCACAAGGCAGCATAACACCCTGGCTTGGGGAAGCTGGGCTGAGGGTCTGGGTGGCCTTGTCTTCCTGGCTTATGGGCCGGAGCCCAGGACCACAGCAATGAGTGAGAGGGAAGAGCTGGAGCCGGCTGAGGGGGCAATCCAGCTGGCTCTGGGCGAACAGGTCAGCAGAGAGCAAGCTCCCAGGTTGTGTCCCTGGCTCCCCATCCTCTGGCTGGAACACATCATCTTCCAGCTCCTCCACACACTGCGGTGGCTCCATCTCTCCTGTCAGAGAACAATGGAGGTATGTGGGATGCCCGCCTACTGAGGCCAGACCAAGGGTTCCCCTCCCTCCATCCTTCCCCACTCTTCCCATTTGAGGGAACCACGCCAGCTTCCGACCATACACAACCTTGGTAATAAAACACTGCCAAGGGTGATGTTCGCCTCTAAAATGTGGGCCACCCCAATGGTCAGGGCCCTTCCATACATCCTCCCGGTACCCACCAGAGCCGTCTTTCCCCACCTCCTCCGACCTAGGCTGGTCACCAAGTTTGACACTGAGGGCAGTAAGCTAGTGGTGGGGTCAGGTGCTACCACAGGGTTCCTGGGAAAGTATAAGGAAGACTGGCCTCCGTAAGTGACTGTGGGGGCCCGGGAGGGGACAATGGCTGACTGTACAAAGTGTTCACACATATGCACACACACACACACACACACACACACACACACACACACACACCCTAAGGAGGAACCTCCAAGCTCTCGCCTAAGTCTGAGCCGATCTCCAGGCTCAGCAGCAAAAACAAAAGCCAGCCATTGTAGAGCGGCCAGGTTCCCTCCGAACGTGCTTGGCCCCACCCCACCGCACATCTCCACCCCCCTCCTTACACAACAAACAGGCTCTGTGGTGTGGTGAGAGTGTCCTGGAACCGGGGACCTAAGTTAGTCAGTCACTCGAGCTGCCCAGCTCAGCTCTCTCCCAGAGGAGCAGAGCTGCCTGCCTGCCCACCACAGGCTCATCGTGAGGGCTGGATCGGCCTCTAGCAAGGAGTCCAGCTAATTCTACCCACTAATCTCCATGACTTCAAATTCTCATCCACTCCGCCTCCCATTCCTGCCAGAGCTGAACCTGAGGTAGGTGCAAGGTGCCTCACAGAAGGAAGTGAAATTCAGCCCTCTTGCTGTGCTTTCTCACTGCCTACCACGGCGGGGCTGTTTCTTAGTGTTAAGTTCCTCTCGCTCCACCTGACGGCTCATGAAATTCTGCACTTGGACTCACCCAGCAGCCTGAGCTTCCAAGCGTGCCCCTGGGGCAACCAGAAGCACCAGCAAGCACCTGAATCGTCAAGGCAATGCAAAAACAAAGTTTGTCATCTTCGGACTCTGCTAGAGATTCCCAGTTCAGACACCCCAGTGTCTTGCCTTTGAAAGACAAGCCAAGTGGTTTGTGGGTTTTAAAAGAAATCTTAAAACAAACAAACACAAAAAACAACAACAACAACAAAAAAAAACCACCCACTTTGTCTTTAAAGAAATCTGTTGAGTTCAGAAACCTTCCTTTTCTAAATGCGAGCGTCTCTCCACCTCACCCCATCCCTGAGCTATCTGTGGTGTTGTCTCTGCTCTCTTCCCTGGAGAATGATGCCGTGCCCGCAAGGATGGCAAAGCAGACATCTTTGGATATTGTTCCAATTGGTAAGGGGGAACTCCAGCTTATCAGCAACAGAAAAATCAAGTTTCCAGATAAAAGGACCAAGAGCTGTCACCTAGCAGGGTGTTCTTCTGTCCTTCGCCCCTCTCTGCTGGCTGGCAATCCCGACCAAAGTAGGGACCCTCCAGAGCCAATCACAAGTAGGAGTCATTGTCTTGGTGTTTCTTTTGATGCCTATCACTCCCCTCCCCCTCCCAGCAAAGCCCCAAAGTTCAACCCTTGCCTTGACTGGACAGTGGGGGAGGTGCAGCCAGAGGGCGTGACTCTGAAAACGCGGAGACCCCCCCCTCCCACTCTGCACAAGATCTGCAGGTGGCTCTCCGGTTCGTGTGAGCCTCCGAGAGGTTCTGGGCGAAGACAAATGTAAACTGGGGGGAAAGTAGAGACCCTCAGCTTCTCTGAGCTAAAGTGGTAATGTCCAGACTGGTAGGAAGAGAGCATTTCCTGAGAGCACAGCCAGGGAACGCTTTATTCCTAGCAAAGGGATTAAAGTCCGCTGGAGCCATCCCAGAGCCTCGGAGCTCCAACTGGGATGCTCAATTAAAACCCCTCCTCTTCTTAGGAGATGGCACACTAGCCAGATACCTTGAACCTCAATAGTGGCTAAGATCTCAGAACACACGCGCGCACACACGCGCGCACACACACCTGGGTGACTCCAGGACAGAGTCTCTGCCTCCGAGTCGTGATGCCAGGGCTCTGCGCCAGGGTCCAGGGTGACGAGCACTCGGGGGGCTTGGCGCCCACACTCGATAGGGAAGGAGGGGGCAAACTCCAGCTGTTAAGAAGAGGACCCTTCAGACTACGCAGGGAGGCAAAAGGCACCACAACTCATGGCCCCACCCCAGAGTCAGACCCGGAGACCAGAGCGTTCCGGGCGCTTGGCAGCGTACCCCAGGATCACTGGCCCACCTACTCTCAACTCCGAGTTCCAAATGTTTCCCGAAAGCCCCGCTTGAAACAGCACGTCCAAATTTGTGCTTTGCGCCCCGTTCCCATATCCCAGCACCCCAACTCCTTATGGTCACCCCAGATGCCCGCAATCCACACCCTTCCCGGGCCCCCACGCGCCGCGCGACTCCGCTCCCCACTTCCCGGAGGAGGTACGATCCAACTCCGCCTGGCCCCCGGCCGCCCGGGCGCTCACCGGGCTGCGGCGGGAGGCGGTGGTACGAGCTAGGGCAGCGGCTGCTGCAGGCGCGAGCTGGCGCGAGAGGAGGCCACGGCGCACCGCGCGGTATTGTTTCCAAAATACGCCCGCTCCGGGCATCCCGCAAACAGCTGATGAGGCCCCGCCCCTCCTCGCGTCACTCCAAACATTGACCAATGACAAGTGGAGCTCCAAGTCTCAGGCTGGGCAGCTGCCAGGGACGGTCACTAATGTACGAACCTTCCCTTGGAAACACTATAAGGGGCCGAGCGCATTTCTGACCTTCGCCAGAAGCGCAATTGCAGCGTAGTGTCGGGTGAGGATTCGGTTCCTAAGGCAGGCCTCAGAAGCACCAGAGAGTCCCTGGGTTCTCCACTAGGTGGGGGGACTGGGCGCCCAAGTGACTTTTGTCTACTTGGAAATGGGCTGAAGAATTATTGCGGGGCTTCTAGAAAGCCGGCTCAGGAGAAGGCTTTCAGAGGCTTGCAACTTGTAGTGGGGAAAACGAGTTGTCAGTCCCTAATAGAAAAAAAAAAAGCCCTCTCGCCTGCTTGGGCGGGTCCGAGGAAAGCTGGAAGAGAACACGTGTGTCCTTGTCTGTAACCAAATGACATTTGGATCCAACAAGTGCAATGAGAGACCCACGTCCTCTCTTCTGGACTGGGCCAGAACACGGGCGAAAAAAGGTTCTGGCAGAGGAGAGATCAAGGGGGCAGCTTGGGCAGCCGACACACCTATTGATGGCAGCATCGGAAGACTGTGCATGGGTCACTGGGAAAGCAAAGCGCAGCTCGTGTACTATGGTCAATCCAAGGATGACTGCTCATCTCTTGAACACCTACTATGTGCCAGGTACTGGACTAAGTGCCAGACTTCTGGGGCCTGACCTCAGTGAGACTCCGCTCCACATGCGAATAATGGAAAGCAAGCGTGAATAGTGTTCATTTTTTAGGGATAATGACTGCTGATGGGTGCAGAAAAATTCAGAACGCAAAGGTTTTTGATTCGGGCCTAGAAGAATGGGGAATTTTTTATTAAGTAAAAAAAAATAATAAAACAGCTCAGGCCCAGAGAGGGAAGGAAGCTCGAATAAAGTACGGAGTTGAAAAGCTTGTCTGGGAAGCAGAGGCAGACCCCTCCATCAAACTGTCTATCATCCTCACTTTGATTTAAATGTGTAAGGGTGGGCAGGTGAGTTTGGGTCGGATTGCAGAGATGCCCCTGGAATACCAGGCTGAGGAATCTGTATATTTTTAATGTGCATTGGTATTTTGCCATGGGTATCAGGTCCCCTGGAACTGGAGCTACAGTTGTGAGCTGCCATGTGGGTGCTGGGAATTGAACTCAGCTCTTAACCACTGAGCCCATGCCAGCCCCCTTTTAAAATGTGTAGCCCAGGCTGGCCTTGAACGGGTGATCCCCCTGCCTCTGCCTCCTTCAGCAAATCCTACCAGCAGGTGCTACCACGACCAGTAGGACTCTGTATTTTCTAGAGGACTGGCAGCAAAGATTTTACAGAAGATGAATTTGGGAGAAAACTGAGAGCAAGAGAGGGGAGGAGGGAGAGAGGGGGTAGCAGAAATCAGTGAAAGGAACCAGTCCCTGCCAAGGCCTACAGGAGCTGCAATAGAGAAAGGTGTGGCCAACCAGAGCGCTGGGCTAAGTCATCCCCACCTGCCCATCTGCTTTAAGATACATGTTTATGGAACTGGTGCTCCCAGGCTTACGTGTCGTCGGCCATTTTTGTTTCTAAATTTTCATTTATTTACTTTGATTTCCTTTGTTATTTTTTATATTTATTTATTTTTGCTTTATGTGTGTGGGTGTTTTGCCTGCATGTATGTCTGTGTACCATGTGTGTGCCTGGTGCCTGAAGAGGTCCTAGGAGTGGGTAGAATCCTCTGAAACTGGAGTTAAAGATGGGTGTGAACCACCCTGTGGGTGCTGGAAACCAAACCCCGTCCTCTGCAAGAGCATCACGTTCTCTTAACTGCTGCGCCATCTTTAACACTTTCTTTTCTTTCTTTCATTCATTCTTTCTTTCTTTCTTTCTTTCTTTCTTTCTTTCTTTCTTTCTTTCTTTCTCTCTTCTTCTTCTTTTTCTTTTTTTTGTGGGGTTCGAGACTGGGTTTCTTTGTGTAGCCCTGGCTGTCCTAGAACTCACTCTGTAGCCCAGGCTGGCCTCAGACTCACATAGATCCGCCTGCCTCTGCCTCCCAAGTGCTAGAATTAAAGGCATGTGCCACCATTGCCCGGCTTCTTTTTCTTGCTTCCCCCCCCCCCCTTTTTGAGATAGTGCCTTGTGTGTAGCAGGCTGACTTCAAACTCTGTACCTAGGCAAAGATGACCTCCTGATCTTCCCACCTCCATCTTCCAAAAGCTGGGATGGCAGCCATGCGCCACCATGCCAGGCTCCTTATACCTTTACTATCTATTATTGCCTTTGCTTGCTCAGAACCCATCTGACAGAGGTGAAGAATGGAGCAGGTATGCAGAGGGCCGGGCCGCGGTCTGCGATTGCTCGCGGGAGGAAATCCTAATTCCAGAGGACAGAGAGGAGGGGAAAGACAGAGAAGAGGGGCAAGGGTGGCTGGGAGTCCCATCCTACCAGGACCTAATAAAGCTCAACAAGAGACACTGGAGCCAAAAGAAGGCTCGGCCAAGTGAGACGTCAGAGGACCGGACCCATGCCCCGGTGGGGAGGCGAAGGACCGGTGGGGAGGCAAAGGACCGGGGCTCAGAAAAGCGTGGGGAACCCACCACTGCTTCCCACGCACTGGACCCCTTCTCCTCCTCCTCTTCATCACTGACATCCTACTGGGCTGGCTAAGTGCATCTCTTGGGGTCTGTCTTGGTCCCTGTTCTGTTGCTGTGAAGAGACACCATGGCCACAGCAACTCTTACCAGAGAAAGCATTGAACTGGGGGCTGGCTTACAGTTTCAGAGGCTGAGCCCATTATCATCATGGAGGGGAGGATGGCAGCCACAGTACTAACAAAGGAGCAGAGAAGGCAAGACTGGGCCTGGCATGGGCACTGGAAACTTCAAAGCCCACCCCTAGTGATACACTTCCTCTAACAAGGCCTCCTAATCCTTCTAATCCTAGAACAGTGCTACTCTCTAGTGACTGAGCACTCAAATATGAGCCTGCGGGGACCATATTTATTCAAGCCACTGCAGGGTCTTAAATAGAACTGAAGGACAAAACAGTATGCCGAGTCCCCCATCCACCTGAGGAGTGAGGATGTGATCCTAGCTCTCACTAAAGCCACCCACTCTACTCCAGCCATGCATGGAAGAACTGTGTCACAAGGCTAGATAGAAAGCCAAGAAAAATGGGATTTTCACCCCAAACCTGGCTCTCCAGAGTCCTGAGCTATGGAGCTATGAAGCCACCACCCCAGTGTCTAAACTGAGTGGGTGGGTGCACACAGAGGAGGCTGCTGCCTTACAAAGGGTTAAAAATCAGCTGGGCATGGTGATGTTCTCCCATAATCCCCGCACTGGGGAGACGAAGGCAAAAGAGTGTGAGGCCAGCCCGGGCTATCCAGGGGGACCTGAACTGAAAAACAGAAAGCTAAGCATCACCCTTGTAGGAGAACGGTGCTGGAGACCCCGAAGACAGCCTTAGTGAGTCCAGGGAACTTGTAGCATGCTGGGAAGCTCAACGCTCTAATGATGTTGTTTTCTCGGACCTCTCCCCAGCCTGCTCCCTCAGGCAACTTTTCTGAAGGACATTGGTGGCTTGGTCTCTGGTACTTTCAACCTTTAGGGTCAAAGAGCAGGAGGCCCAGCCTTCCAGTGGGAGGGACCAGAGAAGGGACGTCTGGGATAAAGAGGTCCGAGAGGTCAGGAGCGTCACTCCCACCACTCATCATTGTCAAAGCAGACCCCTCCCCTCTTTGCCCTTTCTTCTCCATCAGCACAGGGACAGAGCAAGTGTCAGGACCTGCCAACGGGGGGTCTGGGTTGAGTCTCCCGATGTACAGCAGCAGCATCGGAGTATGGCACCCTGGCCTTTGGGCTCTGAGCAAATACGTGGTACAGCATAGCAAACTCCCTTTCGGACCATGGTCTCCTTCCCTTCCCAGCTCCTCACTCCAGTTTGTTCTCTGCTGGCTGATGCTAGCTAGCACTGCAAAGAGGGTCCCCAGAGCAACGCGTTGGCCAGGAAGCTGAGAGGGAGGAGGAGCCTCTAGACAAGGTGGGAGGGATGCGAAGCTAAGCGCCAGCCCTCTGCAGAAAGCTGGCAGGCACCCTCAACATGGTTTCACCTGGTAAGGGGAAATGGTCTCCGAAGCGCCAGTAACTGGATCGTTGGGGAGAAGGGGTGGTTTTTAAAGCCCGACTGACAGCTGAATAATAGGAGTTACCAGGCAAGCTGTCCTGGGGTTACTGGGGTTTGTAATGTAACCTCCAGAGGAGGGTTAGATGGGAAACTGATTTATGTAAAGTGGGGTCTGGCTGGGGAAGTCCAGGGTGCTTTTCTCTTGGCTCCCTTCAGGAGGGATCAGGCATGTAGGAGGAAGACTAGGGACCTCCAAGGTTTTGGGGTCCTCTCCTTTGCTGGACTTGCCTAGACAAATTCTCTCTCTATGTCATTTTATCTGTACGTACACACACACACACACACACACACACACACACACACACACACACACTCCTCTTTTCTGAGTTGCAGTGTGTGTGTGAGAAATTGACAAACACAGAGAGAAAAAAGTGTGGAACAATCATTTTCTACATTATGAATATGTATTACTTTCATTGTTTGATAAAAAGCTGACAGACTGGTAGCTGGGCAGGGAGTTAGGCAGGAAAGCTAAACTGAGAATGATGGGAAGAAGGAGGGGTGGAGTCAGAGAGATGCCAGCCAGCCGCCCAGGAAGCAAGACATGCTAGAGGACAGGTAAAGCCACAAACCACGTGGCAATATATAGATTAACAGAAATGGGTTAATTTAAATGTAAGAGTTAGCTAGTAACAAGCCTAAGCTAGTGGCCGATCATTTATAATTTATATTCAGCCTCTGAGTTGGTTATTTGGGATGAGGTGGTTGGAACAGAAAATGACTGTTTACAAAAAAGTAATATACTAGACAGTGTGGAAACAATACGTGTA